GAGTTCTAATGATGAAAGCTAGCAGGACAAATAGGAAGTTTTGGTAAAAGGAAAACAATGGCTGGATTTCAGTTTAAATGACTTGACTGTGAAAATACTAGACAGCAATAAAGAAAAGATCTGTTGCACTTGAGAAGATGATAGAAAGTATCCCAATGAGAAACCTGCTTGGTTGTTAAAATGTCCATCTTAAATTAGTCATTTAGTTAATGGAAAATTAATCTGAACTCTTTTCTTTTGTAGAAAGGGGACTTAATTTAGAGCTAAAGTGTGAAATCCTGGCCTCATTGAAGTCAGTGGCAAAATTCCTATTTGCTTCAAAGGAGTGAGGATTTCATCCAAGGTATGCTGTACTGTATTTATCTGTTTCTGCTTTAGGGTTGCAGAATGTTCGTGCTAGTCAGTGAAGCAGCAAGGTGACAATGCTGTTTTGCTGCTAAAATACATGCACTTTTCTGTTCATGTGTGTATGTGAAGAGGCATATTTTGACATTGTTGGATTTGTAAATAATTAATATGTTTGGAGCTTTGTTTATATTAGCTGTTATTATTAAGCAGTCTGCAACTAGTATTTTAATTATGTTAGATGTTTAATTTTGTTGGGGGAATTGATAGCAGTTTCTGTGTGTGCTGATTATTTTACTTAGATATGAATTTTTAAGGGTAGGGTGGTAGTACAATAAGCACTTAGTACCTGTGGCCACTTTGCTTTCTAGGTGCAGTGTTTGGAGATGGAAAAATCTGTGCATGGGATGTTAATACATTAGGGACTTGACCCTGTGAGATGCTGAACTATATGTAAGACATGCTGAGCACTCTCAAGTTCCATTGATTCCAAGGGGAATTGAAAGCTCTGAACCCGTTGATGAATCAGGATCTATAGGTAGAAATTTTCTGAGGAATTATGTATTGGGATATTTAAGCATCTATTTTCTACTATTTTGACCCATCTCAGTCTTCAGTTCCCTGTAAAATGAGATCAAGTGGTATCTGGTTATTTTTGAATATAGGGGTATAGAATTACAGACCACAGTTTGCTGCCCTGTTTGGAAATGCCCTATAGAGTTTAATAGAAAATAATTTTTCTATAGGTTTTGGACCATTTTATAGAAAATTATACTCTTGCTGTAGAATTCTATTGGATGTTTCTAAAATCCCACAGGAAGGATCCCGTTCCTTGTTAAATTCTATAAATGTTGAAGGTAATTTCAACAGAATTCTGTTTAATCACCATAAAATTCCATGGGATTTTTCCATAAAAGGCTCGTTGAGAGTGATCCTGCTCCCACTGAAGTCAAATACAAACCCCCCATTGACTTCAATGGGGGTAGGATCAGTCCCATGAAGAGCACACGCTTAAGTGGGACTGTTACATTTTGTCAGTGTCTGGAATAATTTCTCAGGGGGTGGGATGGATTAAATAGGTAACAATTTAGTTATATTTTGGGGAGACTTGATCTAGTTGTGGCAGAGAAGGCATGTTTATTGATTTCAGTCTAATTTATTTTGGTGGTAGTTAACGTCTTATGATCTCTGTGGGTCACATCCTTCTTCCTTAAAGGGGATGCTGTTTCCAGATACCTGGGCTTGCTGACTCTCTCCTGATTTGCTCTGCTTCAGCTCCTCTGCTCTCCATTCCTTGTGAGTTAGGCTATGGACTTCGATCAAAGGTGTGATTTGTAACTGGCATAGGTATACTTGCGCTAGCTTTAATGCAATTAGCATAGTTAAAAATAGCAGTGAAGACATGGTGGCATGGACCGCAGAGTGGGCTAGCAATGTGAATACCTATCCGTGGGGACTGGGCTTGGAGAGGGGTCTTAAGTGACAAGAGAAGAAACAATGGGATAAGGGTGGGAGGCACCAGAAAATAGATGCCAAAAGGGGCAAGAGAAAAAAAGGAACAAGGAAAATCTGTAAAACTCTCTGTTTTCTGGTTCCTAGCTAACTTTGGGATTGGCTGGACTATGGGACTACAACACGAATCCTCTCATTTAAGCTTCAACATTCTTTTATTATCTCGGGAATCAATCAAAAGCATTTTTCTGCACAAGCCCTTTGGACCGCTTTACTAGCAGATACTAACAGTCTACTTCTTTAATTTTATATCTAGACCAGCGGTTCTCAAACTATGGGGAGGGCCTCCCAAGGGAGGTTTGGGAATGTGTCAAGGGAGGTGCTGTGTGCTTGCGCTTTTTGTGTGTGTGTGTGTGTGTGTGTGTGTGTGAAGAGCTCTGGCTGTCAGGCCTGGGTGGCTGGGCTGGGGCTTGTGCAGAAGGGACATGGACACCTGGGAGGTGGGGATATGGGGACAACCGGAGCCCCACCACCCAGGATTGGGGTCTCCTTCCCTCCCCCATCACTCAATCCTTCATTGGGAGGCAGCCCGAGCTCAGACTCTCCTTCTTGACCCCCAATCCCTCACCTGGAGGTGACAGGGCTCCGGCTGTCAGCCTCGGGGTGGCAGCGGCAGGGCAGAAGTAAGGGTAGCAATGGTGTGCTAAGTCTGCGGTGAAAAGTGATATCAACAATATCACTAGGCAACTATCTGCATCTTTAGGTGCCTAAATACCTTCAAAAACCTGGCCCTTAAACACATACTTGATTTTAAGCCTGTGAGCAACATCATTAACTTCAGGGGGATTATTCATCTGCTTAAAATTAAATATGTGCTTAAGTCCTTTGCTGGAAAGGACATCTGTGTTTACTATATTAACTGTCTCATAATTCTACTTAAAATTTCTGCCTTAGTTCAAGTGGAAACTTCTGATGAGGATGATGATTATTAATATAGTTACATTTTACTCTTAGTAGGATAACACCTAGCTTCAAATATTGGGCCAAATTCAAGCATGCAGTTAATAGGAGTCATTCTATTGAAGTCAATTATGTTGCACTTGTCTGTGCTAGGCCTGAATTTGGCCCTGTGAGTTAATCTGTTTTCAGATGCACTGGACCTCTCTCAGGTACACCGTTTTAACATGCTGATATATAACTCCTTTGATTTCAGCAGAGGTGGCCCTAACTTACACCAGTGTAAGTGAGAGGAGAATAAGACCCTCTGTCTCTACAAAGGGCTGGGCACTGTTGCAAGATGTTGCGTACCCTCAACTGCTTTGAAGCCAAGCTCATCACCTTGCAGAATCAGGCCAAGAGCCAAAAATATAAAGGCAGGGAGCAGCATACTTCCTAACTGAATGGCAAGTACTTGAAGAGCTGATGATAATGATCAGACATAAAGACCGCTTAAAATAAACGTGAGTGTTTTCCAAATGTAATTCATTTATTCAGCTAATTTGAAATACCACTGAAGTGAGATGAATTTCTCTAAATATTTTATCAGGGAAAAGCTATAAGTCTCTTCAGACCTTTCTATAACATTGTCTAATGACTACAAAAATATACTGTACTAGAACTAAGGAAGCAGATGCCTTGCTTTACACCAGGTTAATTCATAAGACAATACCACTCCTGCCAAGAAAGGTCTGCTTTTCCTTCTCTGAATTTAACATATGGGAAGAGACAGATCTCCAAATATAGAATGTTAGTGTGTTGCGGTCAGTAGATAAATTACACCTCATTTGTTTTTGGGATTGAGCATGTACAAGCCTTGCAATCACCCAATATGCTTGCCAATGCTGACATCTTTGGGTTTTTTTCAATAACATTTCCGGTTATGTTATTTCACTACACATTCTATGTCATAAATTATTTTTTCTTCTTTAAGATGCCTATATTTAAAATGAGTTTCCTTCACAAACACTCTAGTTTTCGATAAATGCTGTGTGGCAAGTCCAAGAAGAGTGCCAGGCACTAGGAGCCAACTTTGAACATTAGGACGTAGCTCTCGGATTTATGCTGCTGCCCAGTCATTTCACTCCTGCAATTTATTTACAGATGTGCTGCAATAATTCTTTATTTTTAAAGTTTTATTCCTTTGCACAAGAGCTTGTAACTTGAAATTAAAGAAAAAATATCAGTAGTGCTGAAATTTACAGGTATTTATTTGTTTTTGTTACATTTGGCTCAGTCCCTGCACCTTCTATTTGGACAAAATGCCCTTTGATATAAATGGGATTTTTGTCTATGGAGGGATGGCTGGATCTGGCCCTATTTATATTTTTCAAGTCTCCTCCTTCAGCTGTCTGCCAGCATATAATAAATTCACCTGGCAAAACTGTATTTGCCGGCTTTATTAAGTCAACAAAATGAAAACCTAAAACAGAAGACAGGCAGAAAAATCTGGTCTCCTGAAATCAATAAGAATCCATCTCCCTAATCTCTTTTTTATTCCTGGCACTAGTGATTTTTCTTGACTGATTCATTGGGAGCACTGATTTAACTAATTTGTCTTGCATAGGTATCTTTTCCATTCTAAGGCCTTTCCACTAGTACAAAATAATCTTCTCATTAAAGTCTATTTCCTGGTAGATCTTTCATAAAATGACTACCATTTATTTGCACTTTAATAGTGCCTTTCATTGTGCTTTTAAAAACTATTCGTTACATTGTTGGTTTATGTATTTCAATACTGACATCAAAATGCTAACAAGACTGTGTGTACTTACCATGCACACTCTTCCAAAATACATGTATATTTTAACCTTACTACTTCTCCATCTCTTACAGAATTGCTTTATAGAATTCAACACAAAATTATGCCTTTCTATAGTTTTTCTGAACCCTCCTTTAAAATTTAGTAAAATTTGGTTTAAAAATTTATAGCATGTTAAAGTACACATTGAAAGCATATACCCTTTTAAATCCCATAGAATCATTTTCACAGAACTCTATTTTGTAAATCCCTCCTACATTCTATAGCATTTCCCCAAATGTGATAATTCAAAAATAATTTCCAGGTTACTGTGAACATCATAAAATATGTTTCAAAGTCTTACTTCATTTTTCAGGAAAAAAATAAAAAGCATTTTATGAAGCCAAAGATTTTCAATTAAAAGATAGCAATATTAAATAATGCACAAATAACAGGATTTACCTACCTAAACTAAAGAGCACCAAGAATTTGAGACACACAAACTCTCGTAGATCAAACTGCAGGGAACGAAGCTTTGCTACTAGCTCCTGTGCGTGGCTCATAAGGTTGTTGAGGGTGGCTCCTGCTTGAGATGCTATTACTGAATAATCCATCTGTAAAAGAAAGTCACATTTTTGTCTGATTATCATTGCCAGATATCGTGTCCAGTTGGAGAGTCTCAAGAAATCTTATGCAAGTGAGATACCCCAGGAAGTAAAACATTTTACTTTAATCTCAAAATAATTATGGAATCAAATCAAGATGATTTTGTTTAGAAACCTATTCTTGCACGGCATTGTACTTTTCAAATGTTATTGGTGTAAAGCATGTGAGTTTATGGTATGTAACAACATTTTTGAGTATTGGTTTGTACTAAAGTAAACGACAAAATATTTTTGATATGACACCATGTATTATCAAAACTGTCTCCTCCATCTGCTCATTGTATCCAACTGTTGTGTCTCATCCTATATCTAGATTGTAATTGTAAGACCCTTTGGGCAGGGACCATCTTTTCATTGTGTGTGTGTGTGTGTGTGTGTACAGTGCATATCTGATCCTTGATCGGGAACATTTGGTGCCATTACCAACCAGAGCATGAAAATAATTTGATTCAAGGGGCTGAAATCCTGGCCCTATTAAAGTCAATGGGAATTTTGCCATTGACTTTAATGGGGGCCAGGCTTTCACCATAGGACTTTATTTTGAGGATCAAAAAGGTTACTGTACTTAAAATATAAAGAGCCATATCTGTCCCTCATTTACACACCCCTGATTTCAGTTGGGTTGCTCAGATGTAAATGAAGGCAGAATCTGGCCCGACTTGTCTGCTCTGCAGTTGAAGCCTGTACTTTAAAAAAGGAATTTTCAATGGAAAGCACTTTTAAATTTATGTTTGAGAAGGGCTATATAGGAGCTAATTATTATTATTATTTATTATAAGATGAAATCCACCTTCAACTTCAGATAGCATTTCACTGTAACCAAGTTGACTGAGTGAAATTTACCCATTGGCAGAGGTCTTGTACAAGGCCCTCTGTACTAAGGAAATACTCTGGTACCCTTGCTTGGAGGGCACTGGTAGAGGAGCCTCATAGGGTGGTCTTTGCTCCTGTTGTGTACCAAGGAAGTGGGCTCCATGCCTGCTCTGAGTACATTGATCCAGAGGAGACTGGTGCCAGGTGTTTGAGAGGAGTGGTGCAGCCTCTGGCAACCTCCATAAATAGGACAGTTGGGGGCAGTGTCTTCTCTTCCAGCCCATAAACTGGAACTACAACTGTAGTCCCATAGAAATTCCCAGGGCTGTGGGAGTGGTTTCTATCTCTCTCAACCCCTGTCAATCCATTGAAATCCCATTTGCTTTAGTGAATTCCAGTGGACTTTAATTCCTCTCAGAGGAGTGAAGCAGGAGTGCTACAGACAGCAGCCTCATACACAACACACCATTCAACTGCTGCAATGAATGTAGCAGATTTCTTTATATAGGGAGGAAAGCAAGACTGCTTTGGGGGTTTGCCTTCATTGGTATGTACCCCATTTACTCTGTAGAGGAGCTAGGACTGCCTATGAACTTTCCTACACTATCCTCACATGGGCAGAAAGAATTGAATGTTGGAATTCATACCTTGAATTACAAAACTTGGTGTGCATGCACAAAGTACTTTTTTTTTTAAAGTAGCTTTGATAAATAAAAGCCAATTTTCACCTGCCCACTCACCTGTAAGAGGGAGACATCCTCTCTGCTAAATTTCAAGTTTCAACATCATGCACTAGAGCTGTTTTTAAAAAAAAGTCAGTGACAAAGCCAGGATTTAGAACCCAGGAGTCTGACTTGCAACCCTGTGTTCTTGCCTCTGGCCCAAGCTGCATCCCACAAACCACCTTAATCACCAAAATAAATTAATTGTTTCAGAAAATAAAAAATTGTAACGTTAACATATCCGTCAGAACAGCAATTTTCTATAGTGACATGATACTAACTACTTACTGCTGTGAAATTATTCACAGCAAAATCATCTCATTCACAACGTAATTTCTCCTTTTGTAATTGTACTGCTTTGTTAGGGGAAAAAAATCTCTCAGTGCTGTACCAGTTTCAGAATCTTCATGGGTGAAAATATGATCTTCACTTTCTAATAATAAGTTAAGATGTTTGAATGGATTTCAAGAATATTACTGGCCTTACTGCTGTGATTATACTATAATGGAAAAACCCAATAGGTGTCTGAATGTCCCACCTTCCCTCTACTGGAGAGCTTTCAGGCAACCAGCTACTCTTTCAGGTGCATTTAATATTTGCAGCACCAGCAAATTTGTCTGGGAGGCAAGTCCTCATCTGCCACTCACCAAGAGCAGACTGTATTAAATTTTTATATTTATTGACATTTCATTACCATAATTGACTGCACTTGGTTCTCTAGTAGAAGGCACAGGGCTGCCTCCTAAGCAGGAGAATTGGTCCCTTGAGGAGGATTTGCAATTAAAAACAAGACAGAATGGATTTTTTTTATTGTGTAAATATGATGAGTTGAATTTTCAGCTTTAACTAGAGAATACTGGGTGTACAGAAGCCTTTTTCAAGAGTGAGAAAAATTATGAGTCAGTGGAAAGACGACCCCCAAAGGTGTCAATCAGTTTATATAAAGTCAACTGTGCATGAAAAAGCCTCAGTTAAAGTCTATTCTGAAAAAAAGTGTTCACGTTAAACAGCATGCTGTCCTATTTGCCTTGTCTGTGTGCAGTGTACACAACTAGAGGTGTATGGTCAGAGTGGGTTTTATTTCTGTATCAAAGCAATTGAATACTAGAAACTCACAGATAACCACAACTACCTTCACAGATCCAGTAACTATCCCAAACGCACCAAGCAATCTGTTATCTACAGCCAGGCACTCAGATACTACAGAATATGCTCTGAGGAGAAAGACCAGGACATACATCTTTAACATACAACCACCTTCACTAAACAAGGACACTCCACCAAAAAAGTAGACTCCATCATGGAATGGGCTACCCAAAGACCCAAGAGAACCTGCGTCAGTACAGAAATACACCCCCTCCAACCGTACACATCTAGTTGTCACCTACCACCACACATTGGAGCCCCTATTGGGTATCATCAAACAATTACAACCCATACTTGATGGGGATCATCCTGAAAGAAATCTTTCCTGAACCCCCTCTTCTGGTCTTCAAACAATCTTCCAACCTCTCCAAGCTCATCATCAGAAGCAAGCTCCCCCAGACCAGGACTCACCAACTCAAAGCACCAGACCCTGCCAGAACAACAGACGCAAAATCTGTGAGTATATCTCCACTGCTACAATGATTAACACATCTTTCAAGATCATCCATGGGTCCTTCACATGCCTATCACAATATATGGTGTATCTCGTCCAGTGAACTAAATGCCCCAATAATAACCACACCTCTACTCCGATATAACGCGACCCGATATAACACGAATTCGGATATAACGCGGTAAAGCAGTGCTCGGGGGGGGGGGGGAGGCTGTGCACTCCGGCGGATCAAAGCAAGTTCGACGTGGTTTCACCTATAACGTGGTAAGATTTTTTGGCTCCCGAGGACAGCGTTATATCAGGGTAGAGGTGTATGTGGGTGAAATGAGGCAATCGCTACACTTTCAAATGAACTCACACAGAAAAATGATATAAGACAAAAACACCATATCACCAATGGATGAATACTTTTTACAAAGCACTCACTGTATATCTAACCTCTCAGTTTTCATCCTCAAAGGAAATCTGCACAATATCTTCAAAAGACGAGCCTGGGAGCTTAAATTCATAACTTTGCCTAGATATTAAAAATTATGGACTGAATAGAGAGACTGGATTTATGATTTATTACAACAATCTATAATCCACTTAACTCCCCCAGTTTTTTGCCTTTCCCCTCTATGACTGGAGAGGTGTTAAAGGGGCCACTTCACCTTGAATGGTCCTTTGAAATGTTTAACCTACTTATGCTAAACAATCTGTTCAACCTCGTATTTAGTTGTGATGCTCTGAGTACATTCCCCAGACCTGAAAAAGATCTCTGTGTAAACTCAAAAGCTTGTCTCTCTCACCAACAGAAGTTGGTCCAATAAAAGATATTATCTCATTCACCACGTCTCTCTAAAAACACCCAAATAAACTACTTGTAACTTGAGCTGGAAATTCACATCATATGCACTTGTATACTGAAGAGCATAACTTTTACCTAATAGTGAGTCATACTGTGCCATCAATGCTGGTTAATTAAACCAAAAACCCGACTGAAATTAAATGATTTCTGCCTTAAAATCGATGGTCTGATATTGTGCAGCAGATTTTAATGCAGAAGATGGTTCAGCATGACGATTGACGCTTTAAGAAATAAGAGCTTAAAATTAAGCTTCTAAATCCATATTTAGGTGCCTGAGGGTGAGATTTTCACAAGTGCCTAAGTAACTTAGGAGCCCAAGTCCCATTGAATTCAATGGGAGCAATGTTAGGTCAATGCTGAGTACATTTGAAAATCCCATCTTAAAATTGTAAAAAGTGATGTTGTATTTCGGAAAACTTATATCGGAAACCAGATCAAGTAATCTCTAGTTGATCAATACAGTTGTAAGATATTTACTTAGATGAGGCCAAATTCTGAAGTCCTTACACACAAAGATCTCTCTGAAGTCAATGAGAGGTTTTGCCTAAGTAAGAATTAAAGGCAAATCTTGTTTACAAGGGAAAACTATATTCTGGGCTAAATAAGCTTTGAGCCTGAAGGCCAGGATATGAATACTACTGACTTAACAGGGACCGTCAAATTGATTCCTGCTGTTATGATTTATTATAATAATTGTGCTCTCCATCTCACATGTGCTCTGATCAGCTACTGCCCATGACTGCCTGAATTTCTCCCCAACCTGTCACTTGACTTGTGGCTGGCCTTGTCCACAAGGCCAAAGGGGTTGTGGCAGTGGCACAATGAAGCTTTTGTGCCCTGAACTGGTGCCAGCAAGTCTTTGGGAGTAGAGCTACTGCTCCTAGCTAGGACTACTTCTTCAAGGCATAGCCGAACAGTCGGCTGTAGCAGTCGTTCGCCATTTGGTCCGTTCCTGCGCGGCCGC